TAAAAAAGCTCCACTTTCAGGAGCCGCCATCGCTGGGATCCTCCACGCATGCCACCCGCCGTCCTCCATGCTCTCGTCGCGGCATCACCTGGATCTACCTGCTCCAGAGTCCCGCCACCTGCAGATCTACAAAGGGGAGAGGGAAGAGTGAGAAGATGAAGTGGGGAAGAGAGAGGGGGAGATGGAGAGAGTTGTATCGGGTCTGGCTGCCCTCTACCAGATTCCATCAGATCGAGCCCATAGGACACTGGTCATCAGAGAAGCGAGCCCGTAGGACGTGCGGGGCCTCGCCGCTGCCACCCGTCGCCTGGGCGCCCGGCTACACGCGACAGAGGAGGGCCCGCCCGCCACCACCCGCCCTGGAGGAGGGCAAGCGCATAGAGAGGTGCGTCTTGGAGAGGAGTCAGAGTTAGAGGCGCGCGGGAGACGGAGTCACGTGGGAGACAGAGCATGTGGAAAGGGAGTGGCGGCTGCATTGAGTGTGTGGAGAGGAAGCAGCGTCAGCGACTTTGCTCTGGGAGTTGCAAGCGCAAGGGAGATGTGGAAGGAATCATGAGCCCAAGAGAGAGCCAAGCGTAAGGAGCCTGTGTAGCGGCCGAGAGGTGGAGCAATGGCGAGATAGGGTTGCCTTTTTATAGTTAGGGTTCGGAGTAGACTGCTAATGTGCTTCGGGCCTTTGAACCGAGGCAGGCCTCCTCCTCTAAAAGTGGCCACCATTTTTGGAAGGCCCACCTTCGTAAATCGATTTTAGGAGGCGGTTATTTTGTGACCGCCTCTGTAAATCGATTTTACAAGACGGACAATCCTGACCGTCTCTGTAAATAAAATATCTGCCTCTGCAAATGCGCGAGACGGTGAATTGTGACCGCCTCCGTAAATGAAACGTCTGGCTCCAAAAATTCTCAGGTATTTTTACGAGACGGTTGGATTTTGTGACAGCCTCTGTTAATGTTTGGGCAGTGTCTCGTGAATTCAATTTTTGTGTAGTAGTGCTTGGTGTGCATAGCCTGGTGTCGCCCTAGATGTGCACCACTTTGACTTCTTCGCGACACAGCGGGGATGGTCGACCATGCGATATGGGTGAAGCACCTTGGTCAACTCTGTGTCCTCTCTCCTCTTGCGGTGGAGATCGATGTTTGCGAGAAGGAGCACCGGATTGGGGGATTGCGTGGAGGAATTCATATGGAGGATCACTACACCACAACACCAAGATTAGTGATGGATGGTCTCACGCTAAAAGCGGCTACAGCGACAGACAATCTGACGCTAAAAAGTTATAGCGACAGATTTCTACAGACGATGTAAGTCCTGTCGCTAAAAATCTTTAGCGACAGATAGTCTGTTGCCTGAATTTTTAGCGACAAATAGTCCATTGCTACTTTTTGGCGACAGATGCTCTATTACTAGGCATATACCAACAGATCATCCAACAGTCCATGTATTTATAGCGATAGTTTATTCTACAGGACAATATAAATATATAAAAAAATAAATACAATGAGAAAATATGTAGCACATATCATACCCAGATTCAAGCTTAAGGTCCATCACATAAAGATATAGAAACACATACATCACATGTAGATCAATACATATATAACATACAATCTTGTCTTGCACGGTACATCATCCAACAAGGTCAGCCACCAAAAGATCACATGAATGCACACCCAACAAGCAATACTAGTAGTTTGTGTTTGACATACTAAGGTTTGTGCATACAATCATTTCTAGGAACTCAAAAACCAAAAGCAATGGCTTGCCAACACTAGAGCCTCCACCAGGTTATGTGTAGAACCATTTTCTAGAAACTCAAGCCAAAGACTGCCCAACACTTCCTGAAAAATATAACAACCATGTAATTAGGCAAGTGGAGAAAATATGTGAAGCTGCTGTGTAGTATGATTTGTAATCAGCAAGTGTAGACATCCATTTTCCATAAACTCAAGCCAAATTACAGGTTTTTTCTCCTACTGCAGTTAAATAGTCATCTAGTACAAATAACAGTTAGTTGTGAACTTCATTTTACATATTTCAGCACAGTTCATAGTGGTTGGATACATGTGCAAGTAATAGTTACAGTTACAATTTTCATCTCTAAACAAATGCCTTCTTTCTCCATCATATTTAGTATAGCTATTACCTATAAACTACGACCTGACAACATATCACATGTATAGGTACGACTTGGGTGAAGCTCTGTCTTGTATCTAAGTTATGTAGGATCATCTTTTGGGAGAACAGAATCTGAACTACTTGCTTAAAAAAAATGAGCACAGATAACTCTCCCATTTAGACTAGTGGCCAGCCCCTCATGTGGATTTAACATAGATTTTCCCCTGGGTTACATCTCAGGCGTTAAACTATTTAGTTGGAAAAGTAAATTATTCTCTAAAAGTCATAGACCAAAAATTACATGGGAAAAGAAAATTCTTGTGCTCACTGCAATAGTGAGGAAACTATAAAAAATAAATAAGTGATAGTAGCTCAATTGGTAGAGTCTTCGCTTTGTGACTTTGTCAGACCATGAGCAGTACTACTAGCTAGTACTTGCATATGTAATTGAGCTATTATTTTCTGTTCACTTGTAGCCTCTATTCATTTTGTGAGCCTCTAATTTAGGGACATACCTGCAGTGCCCTTGAGAGGTGTACTAGATGCCTTCTTGCATTCCTTCTTCTTGCATTCCTTTATCTATCACAGATAGGTTTAATTAGGACATTGGTCATGCATCACAGATCAAAACAAAATGAAAATTATGTCAAGTCTAGTTTATTACTTTATTGTATGGCCATGCAATGCTCATCTTGAGAGCACTAGCCATAGTCTGCATCTCGCCATAAGTCCAAGGCAGCATAGCATCCCTTCTCATCACAACATTGACAACTACTTCACAATATTCATTCCCAAGAGGCTGGCCTCCTACCATGGTGTTTGGATTAGTTGAAATGACTGTTCCCCTAGCCACAGCTAACTCAGATCTCAAGTAGCTGAGTAGGGAGCAGTTCTGGGTGGGACTAGGAGGTGAATGGATTTACCTAGGGTAGCTAGGATTTGGAGGTATATATGGAACATTTAAGTGCTCGAACCCACTTGTCGATGTTGGTGGGTAGCAGGTGTGGGGTACAAGAGAATACACTCATACCCACTCTACCCAATGAGTGGGAGAACCCATACGCCCTAACAGATTTTTAATCCACCAGGTATCGGGTAACAAGTACTCATTGCCATCCCTAAGATCTAGGCAAGGAACAAACAAGTTCCAAGAAGGCATAGCTAAGCTCCATGCTAGGAGGTTGGTATATTCGAGATTGTCGGTGTCTGATAACTGGCAACACATTACGGCGTTACCCGAAACGAGGATTGGTGGGCTTCGGCGTAAGCTAAACTCGATGGTTAACACAAAGACATCGATTTATACTAGTTCAGGCCACTAAACAGTGTAATACCCTACATCCAATGTGGCGTGTTGCCTTGCGTTAGATTGTTGTGTATGATGACGTTACAAGGGGTGTGCCTGCCTCTCTTTATATAGTCCAAAGGGCAGGCGCACAAATCTAGTCCTAGTCGGTTACAACAGAAGAGTTCTAATCCTATTACAGAGATAGACTTTCCTATAATCCGACTATGTCGGTCCTTCTTATCTTGGAGAGCACGCCACCTTGTCTCGTGCCTTCAAGTAGACCGTGGACTGACCCATCTCCTTGCTGGGTAGTCGGCCCAATGGGAAACCCTTAGGATCTTGGTCCGTCAGAGATCCAAATCAAGATCAACACTGGCGGTCAACGACAAAGGGTGGGATAGCCTAGTACATTGATAGCGCTAGAGGGCCTAGGCCAGCGGAAAACATTGACTTGGGGTTGGATGCCATCTCTGCAAAAGATAGAAGGAAAGGGTTGAGCGCAGTCGAGGGCTATATAGCAATAGTTGGTGTGCCCACCAATTTATTGGCGGAGTTGCACCCCCCCCCCCCTATTTTGGGGAGTTGGGGTGTCCTGTTTTTGTGATCACCAATAGTAGGGGAATGTAAAAGAAATTTACTAGAGCACAAAATCTGCATTAACTCCCTCGGTATGAATAGTTTCTTTGGGAAAGGGGATCCCCAAGAGTTGCTCTCAGAGTCCAGTAGCGGGACACGATGGGACCCACTTAATGCTTCACCCCATGAGTGGAGATTCAAATATTGACTCCAAAAGTCAGAAAAAAGTAAAACATCAAGGTTTACGAGAAATAGAGATTGAAGCACGAAATTGAATCTTTGATTAGTTGGGATATAGGCAACTCCTAGCAAAACTTGGCCTACAGGGGAAAGATCATCTCTGTGGTACTGTAGCAATAAGAAAAAACACTCCTAACAAATTAGAGAAAAAGGTTTACCCGTTTTATTAATCATAAAGCGTTCAAAGGCAGTTCAGTTCCAGCGTATTGGCGTACCCGCCAGAAACACAGAAATGGCCTAAAAGCCAACAGCAACACTACCTGATACATTTTGATAGTAACAAATTAAAGTTTTGGATGACAAAAATCACAGGAACAAGAGCCGCCTCTCCCTCTATCAAGCAAAACTCTCAACCACTCGAATAAAAGCCCCAAATCATCTTGACAATTGCTTATATACTCCGTATCATTTTTAGCCGAGGGTACATATCAACACTGGTTTTGATTTGGACGTGGGGTACCTTTAGTAGTTAGTCTCAAAATAAATTCTATATAGCAGACATTTACAATTACGAATCCACACTACTCATCATGTACTTTCTTGCATGTACACCGGCCCGGTCCCACACTCCAGCCTCAGCGGCGGCCACATATATCCAGGTAGCTGCATGGAAGGCACCCCGTTTTGACTAACGCACTACCTTCCTTTTCCAGCCGCTATTCCTATTCGTCGTCTCGTCGTGACGCGGGAAAAGCCCCCATCACGACCTGGTCGTACCGAGCTCGCTCATCGACATCGACGGCAAAAATTCCACCGGTTTTCCACGGCTAGTCGTCGCCCCTCACCGTGACGTGGCGCCCCACGACGACAAGGGCATCCCGACGAAGGCGGACGCGGCCGCGGACGATGCGCCGGACACCGGGATGCCCATCGCCACGCGGCACCAGCCCTGCTGCACCGGCGCCGGCGCAGCAGCCGTCGGCGCTGTCGCAGGCGCGTCGTCGCGGAGGCCGAGCACGCGCACGGCGAGGTGCACGACGCCGTGGCCCCACGCGGGCGAGCCCGGTGGTGCGCCCCCGCCGCGGCGCGGGCAGCGCAGCGAGTAGCTGAGCCGGCGGAGCGCGCGCGGCGGGCGGAGGCCGTCGAGCACGTCGGCCGCGGGGATGCCGCACCAGCCCAGCGGCGTGGCGCCGACGAGCCGGCAGGCGGGCTCGGACAGCACGGCGACGTGGACGTTGGCGCGGCCCTCCAGGAAGCCCGCGCCCACGGGGACGACGAGCGTGTCGCCCCACGCGTGCTCGCCGCCGCTGGGTGCGCCGCCCGACACCGACGTGCTGCAGGCCGAGCCCGGTGCGTCCGACGACGACACGGTCACGTACGGCCGCAGCCGGCGCGGCAGCGGCGAGTAGGACGGCGGCAGGCGCAGCGAGTCCGCCGACAGGACCGTCACCTCCAGCGCGACGCCGTCGAAGTACCCGCCGCCGCCGCCGTCGTCTCCGCTGCCGCCGCCGCCGTTCTTGGTGGGCCACAGGAACCGCAGGGACGACGACATGGCCGGGCGGCGACCCTCGTCTGTCGTCGCGGGATCAGGTGCAGCAAGAAGCTGTAAAGTGGGCGGGTGGCCTCGCGTGGTGGTTTATACCGGTGCATGGCGTGGAGAGGGTGTAGCCGGGGGAAATTATGAGGGAGGCGGGAGGAGGACGAGGAGCAACTTCGCCCTCTCTTGATTTGGGGGCGCGCGAAGCCGCACAGAAGGTTAGGGAGGTTAACTAGCTAGGGAGAAGCCGCGCTTGGCGCGCGTTAGTTCTTGGCGTCTTCGCGGACGACGGCGATGGCGACATAAACCTTTCTTCTAATTCGTTTTCTTCTCTCGGGAGAGGAAGAAGAGGTCTAACCAACGACTGAAATCAGTTCGACGCCTTGTCGTAAAATAAAAGTTTTTGAATTCGGAGCGGGCGGCGGACGGTACGGTGCATTATTGGGACTTGGAATTCAAAATTCAAATCAAACTGTCTGAATGTTCCAAAAAAAAAAAAATCAAACCGTCGAAATTGAATTCAAAACAGGAACGTGCGTACGCAGCCGGGAGCGAGAACGTACAGGATCGGCAAAATATAATAACCCCTCGTGGAGTTGGAACCTACGTATGACTTTTTTAGATACTAAGCAACGGTGAGGACAAGCGATGGCTTGGCGGCCGAAGAACCTAGCTAGGGTGAAGAAGAAAGTACTTGCATTTAGTTGAGGTACTAATCAAGCTACGATGGTCATATTGATGTGAAGGATCAAATCACTATTGGAGTGTTTGATAGAAGTGACTTGATACATTTGGGATTATTCAAATTTGATGAATGGAATCAAGTCACGTGCTCAAGATGGCTATGCTCAAGTGAAAAAGATCAATATCAACATGTTGGCACCCTCACTTGATGAAGATTGGAATACACGGCTTCGGTTCAAAAAGAGCAACTCAAAAGGTTTAAATTCGTTATACTTTTAAATTTGAGTAAATAGGAATGCCGTACTATCAAGAGGGATGCATCATGTTGATAGATAATGTTTAATAAGTGCTCAAGCCAACCCATGTGAGTTTTGAGTATTTGAGTGACAAAGGAGCTAACTTTATTTTTTGCTGGTCTGGCTATACCGGACGTGTCCGGTATTTGCCCAGTAACTGTAAAAGTGTTGTTCTCGGGTTGGTTCGTCGGGAGTTCCGACGTATGTCGGGAGTTCCGACGGTCGGAAGTTCCGGCAATGGTCGGGAGTTTCGACGTCTCGCAATTTAAATAATTTGGAGAGTTCACTGTCCAGGTCATACCGGACGTGTCCGGTATGGACGACCAGAGGCCAACGGCTGGTTTTCCAAAGCCTTGAGGGTCGGGAGTTCCGACGTAAGTCTGGAGTTCCGACGGTCGGAAGTTCTGGCATGTGTCGGGAGTTCCGGCACCTCATATTCTTTAACTCAGTTACATGGTTTTCAAATTTACTGAGGATCGGGAGTTTCGACGTGAGTCGGGAGTTTCGGCGGTCGGGAGTTCCGGCATTCATCGGGAGTTCCGACGCCTCACAACTTCACTGTAACTTAGTTACCGTTGGGGCAGTGTAAGTCATACCGGACGTGTCCGGTATTGCAACGGCTATAAAACGGCTAGTTTTTCAAGGGGGCTATAAATACCCCCAAGCCTCCACCTTTGGAGGTTGCTGATTCTGCTGATATACACACACGTTTTTAAGCCTTGCCAAGTCTTCTAAACCCTCTCTTAGTGAGTGTGTGATCCAAATTGCAAAATCAATTTGTGGGTTAAGAGAGAATTTGAAAAAGAGAGCAAGCCACCACTTGAGCACTTGTGCATATTGTCAATCTCGTGATTTGCATTTGTTACTCTTGGACTCTTCGGTCCTAGACGGCTAGGAGTCGCCGAAGAGCAACCGAGAGATTGTGGTTGCTTCGGAAAGTTTGTAACGGTCGATTCCACCGCCTCGGAATCATTTAGTGGAAGGAGGAAAAGGAGTTGGAAAAGACTTCGGCTAGAGTGACCTTCGTGGTACCCTCTAGGGCTGACCTTCGCTGGGTCGCCCGCAGCCCCCTCAACGGAGAGTAGGACTTGGATGAGTCCGAACTTCGGTAAAACAAATATCGTGTCTCAATTCGCATTTCATTTGATATTTGTGTTGCTCTAGCTATTCTGCAGGTTCTCTGTGTATATTGTCATCTCCATTAGGTGCCTGCAGTTTGGTTTGAAGATAGAAATCGAAAGGAGCAAGTTCGGGGCCAATCTACAGAAATCGTGTATACCGGACACGTCCGGTATTTCCTGCCTGCACTGAAAATATTTATTCTCTGTTCTAACGTGGTGTTGCAGGGTTGTAACTTCTAGATATATTCTTTATACCTTGTTTACTCTGTGGCTAACTTGTGAGGGGTGGTAGTACTCTTAATTTGGAGTTTCCATTTTGGAAACTCCCCTTTCTAATTGTTTCCGCATTTAAATGTGTTAATTTTCAGAAACGTCTATTCACCCCCCTCTAGGCGACATCCTAGGTCTTTTCAATTGGTATCAAAGCGAGGTTCTCACCTAAAGCTTTACCACCATGAGAAAAGGATGTCAACGTCTATCGAGTTGGAGCCGGTGCTTCTCCAAAATGATGGTTCAAACTTTCTACCTTGGTCAATTCATGTACTCAATGCTTTTAGACATATTAGTCCTATTATTGAGCATATTGTGTTTGCAAGCATACCTCTTCCTATAGTTGATTGGAGCAACTATAAGAATTTATCAAAAGAGGAAGAGATATGCGTGCAACTCAATGCTCAAGCTATTAATATCATTTTGAGTACATTGAGTGCAGAGGTTCAAGATGAGGCAATATTCAATGGACAACCACCTCCGGAGAGTGCTCATCTCATTTGGACCAAACTCGTTGAGTTATATGGAGAATCCAAATGCGATGATGCACTTGAGGTCGAGTCAATGGAAAGTATGTCCATTGTGTCTTCATGCAGCAAAGAAGCCTCACAAGACCTCAAGAGCGCCGAGCCAGAGCAAGAAGTGCAAGCAGCACATGACTTGCTGTCTGCCTGCACATACCGGACATGTTCGGTATGCCTACCGGACGTGTCCGGTATGGCCGAGGCAGTAGACCAGCAAGCAGCTGTTTGCAGCGATGCTCAAGCCCGGTGGCGACCAAGTGATGAGTCAATCTCAGTATCTCATGATACTCATCACTTGTGTCTCATGGCCAAGAAAAGTAAGAAGAAGAGTAACAAGAAAGATCAAGAGAAGGAGAAAGCACAAGTAGATGATCAAGATGAGAGTGACGTTGAAGTTGAAGATAACTACAACCTTGATCATCTCAACCGCAAAGACAAGTTCATCATCATGAAGATAGTTGAAAAGAATGATGAGCTTGAAGAAGAGATTGAGAAGCAAGAGCAATCACTTCAAAAGCAAGAATTGTTTCTCATCTCTGAGATGGAAGAACTAAAGGCTCTAAGTGAAAGGTATGAAAAATTGTCAATTGAGCATGCTTTAGTTACTAACTCCTCTTCTAGTGTTTCCCAACTAGAGAAGGAAAACTTAGAGCTCAAGGCAAGGCTAGATGAACTATCAAGCAAGTACAATGTGCTACAAGCTAATTATGTTCATCTAAAGTGCTCTCATGAAGAATTAGTAGAATCAAGCATTATGCTTGAGGTAGCACATGAGGTTGTGATCACATCGGTAAAATCCTCTCAACCTCTCGCATATTCACTCACTAGTACACCATCTCAATTAAATGTTTCTTGTACTAATGAGTGTGCTCCTCAAGCAAGCCAATCTTCAATTGAGCTAAATCTCATAGAAAACATAGAGCTTAAAGAAGAGGTGAAAAGATTAAAGAAAGATGTGATTCGGTTGAAGGGTGAGGAGAAAGCACAACCTTCTCAAGATAACCGTGATTACATGGTGAAGAAGCTTGAGAAGGGTTCAAACCTTGCTTCCTCCAAAACTCAACAAAGGAATCACATTTCAAGCAAGGCCAACACAACCAAGAGCAAGAAACATGGAAAAAGGTTATGCTATGGTTGTGGATTATATGGACATGAGTGGACTATGTGTCGACATAAGAGTTGGGCCGACAAATGTGAAGTGGCCGAACAAAAGGCCTCAAACAAGTTGGCCAACCAAATGAAGAATGATGGACAAAGTGCTTGTCTCATGAGCAAGAAATTGGGGCATCCTACCAAGAAATGTCCAATGTACAAAGAGGCAAGAAAGGAAGCCCAAGTTGCAACAAGAAGATACTTTGGATGCAATGAGAAGGGCCATAAGGTTGATAGGTGTCCATACAAGCAAAGCAAGCATAGAGCAAACAAAGGCCGCATATGCTATGCTTGTAGAAGAAAGGGGCATCTAAGCTATGAATGCCCAAATGGTAACGCTCCTAAGCCAAACACATATGTTTATAATGATAAGCTTAGGAAGACCACAAATGGAGTTAACACTAGCAAGGTGATGTGTTCACCACAAACTAGTGCTAAAGCCATTTGGGTGCCTAAGCACTTGTTGGCTAACTCAAAAGGACCCAACAAGAGTTGGGTACCAAAGTGTGCTTAGGTTAATGATGTAGGTACTTGGTGATGAGATGAAGGCATCGGGGTGGTTGAGCAAGCAATTTGACAATATTCACTCAATCTATCAACCAATTCTTATCATAATTCCTTATATGGTTGACCCGAAGATAAGTTAATGAATATATCATGTATTTCATACTCACCATTGATAACAAGTACCTAAACCTAAACCTTATAGGATAGCCACTTTGTTTACTTTATGCTCAATGACTCACAAATAGGCATGTTTGTGAAATAGTGAAAGTGGCTAATTATCTTTACTTGATAGTTATCATGTTTGCCATATGATGTTTTTAATAATTCTCTAATAGAGCAATTTATTTGTTGAGATGCAAGTGTCAAATAAATAATAGAGATAAATGAAGAATCACAAGCAGTGAATTAATTGGTTCTGTCCTACACCTATCGGACGTGTCCGGTATTACTATCGGACGTGT